ATTCTCGTTGAAAGTGACATCTCTACTTCTGATAACCTTCTTGCTGTGGTTGTCCCAGAACCTGTAGCCCATGTCATCCATCTCGTACCCAATAAAGATACACTTCTTTGCCTTTGCCTCAAGCTTGTCACTATCTGCATCTCTAACTTTGACATAAGAAATACAACCAAAAACTTTCAAGTGAGTAAGGGATACCTCTCGACCTTTCCATTCCTCTTCTGGAATTTTGAAACCTATGGGAGATGAGGGTCCTCTGTTGATCAAGTATGCTGCTGTGTTCACCGCATCGGCCCAGAACATCTTTGGATGTCCTGCATGCAATCTCATGCTCCTGGCCCTCTCATTCAGTGTTCTGTTCATCCTCTCTGCAACACCATTTTGCTGTGGTGTTTCTGGAACCGTCTTCAGCATTCTGATCCCCTGTTCAGCACAATACTCTACAAACTCTGTGCTACTGTACTCACCCCCATTATCACTCTTTAAACACTTAATCTTAAGATTCGTTTCATTCTCTACTGCAGCTTTGAACTTCTTAAAAGTGTTAAAGACTTCAGATTTATTTTTAAGAAAATAAACCCATACCTTCCGTGTAGAGTCATCAATGAATGTGACATAGTAACGGGAACCTCCAATCGAAGAGACCTTTGTAGGTCCGTAGACATCTGAATGAATCAACTCCAGTCGCTCAATCTTGGGTTGCTGCCCTGTCTTCACAAAGGTTACCCTCTTTTGTTTGCCTAGAACACATGGCTCACAAAAGCTCAACTTTGAATTCTTCAAATCTGGGATTTTGCCCTTTGAAGACAGCATCTTCATTCCGTTCTCACTTATGTGCCCAAGTCTTTGGTGCCACAAAGTAGAGACCCCTGTATCTTCAACTGCTGCGTTTGCCCCATCTGTGGACACTTCAACCATGTACAGTGTACCGTGCTTCTGCCCACGAGCAATGACCAGCTTTCCCTTTGTCACCTTCCATTGCTTGTTGCCAAAACTAACGTTATGGCCTTCCTCATCAAGCTGTCCAACTGAGATCAACATCTTCTTCAGGTCTGGAATATACCTCACATCTTTCAGCCTCCAGGTTGTACCCAAAGAGGTACTGAGATCAACATCTCCAATACCCGTGATCTCCAGGGATTTGTCATCTGCCAAACGAACTCTTCCGCTGTAGGGCCTGAAATTTTTCATCAAATCCCTGCAATGACAAGCATGAAACGACGCACCTGAATCCATGATCCAGGACTCAACTGAATTCTCAACGCTGCAAATTAGAACATCTTCATAATCCTCTGCCACGTTCACCTCCTTCTTGCCTTTGTCTGCAGGGGGTTTTGGGCACTGATTTATGAAGTGTCCATTCTCTTTGCAATTCCAACAATTGATGTCCTTCCGGTTCTTGGATTGCCCTCTCTTTCTCGACTTCGATCTTCCCTTCTTGTTACCTCCTCTAGTGGATTTTCTGCCCCTATCTTCAGTACTCAACAAACTGTTGGAGCTATCCCCCGAACTCCTCCTCCGGATATCCTCACCAAGGATTAAGTCACGAATACCTTCAAAGGTAAGCTTAGTGGTTCCGGATGAACTACTAACCGCTGTGACTGTACCGGACCAACTATCGGGCAAAGATGATAACAAAAGTAACGCTTGGACTTCATCATCGAATTTAATCTCAACCGAGCCTAACCTGGATATGATTGAATTAAACTCGTTGATGTGATCTGTCACGGATGCACCTTCCTTCATTCTTGTATTCACCAACTGTCTAATCAAGAAAACCTTGTTTGCTGCTGAGGGTTTCTCATACATGTTGGATAACGCCTTGAGCAGTCCATATGTTGTCTTCTCGTTAACGATGTTGTAGGCAACGTTCTTCGCCAACGACAACCTCACCACACCAAGAGCCTGTCGATCCAACAAATTCCATTCCGCTTCCGTCATCGTTTCTGGTTTGTTCTCAGACAACGGTTGATGAAGCTTCTTTTGGTAGAGATAATCCTCGATCTGCATCTTCCAGAAAGCGAAATCTTGACCATCAAATTTATCGATCTTAACCTTCCCTTCGTCAGCCATAGCTCTGATACCAATTGTTACGATTAGGCAAAGATAAACGATAAATTAAGAGCAAGAACACAAGAATTAACGTGGTTCACGCAATCGGGGTGATTACGCTAGTCCACGGCGAACGAGAGAGAGGATGTGTATTATTATGTCTGCGTCAAGGTTTACACGTACATTAGAGATGTTTAAATAGGTTTAAGGAAACCTAATCACAATTAAGAGCCGCAGGCCCGAAAGCTAAGCCCGAAATAAAAATTTTCCGCCGACCCGGTCGGGTCCGACTTTTGACCCGGTCGGGTCTCCTTCACAGAACATAAACCCGGGTAGAACCAGGTCGGGTTTCCAAAACAGAAGGCTTCTGCCTTGCTGACCCGGTCGGGTCCCTTCCCTGACCCGGTCGGGTCTCACGTCCAGTGAGATCCCCCGGTCTCTGCTTCAACATACCCGGTCGGGTGGCCAACCATACCCGGTCGGGTATCTGCTCTGAACCTAAGAACAAGACTCCATCTTCAACAATCAAATCGTAATGCAAATGGTTCTTAATTTAGCTTCCCGTTAATACATCATTCCATATTTAAAAATTGTTTCATCCATACAAAAATATGATCAGAATAACATTTAATGTTACGTAAGGTCAGTCTCGGTTGATAGATAGAATGCTAAAAGTAATAAGCTCATATTCAATTCTTGACAACTATGTTTGTGCATTTGACTATTAAGATTGGATAGCGTTAACGGAGTATCAATAATGGATTCAGTCAATTCAGTCAGCGAGTAGTTTAACTAGCGGAACAACTTGGCGGGTTGTCAGAATATGTTTGGTACGTTAAAAAACGCTAGGGCCAAACAGCTATTTACCAAACGACGTTTTCATTTATTGAACGGATTCAGTCAGCGAGTTTGACTAGCGGAACAAGTTGACGGGTTGTCAGAATATGTTTGGTACGTTAAAAAACGCTAGGGTCAAAAAGCTATTTACCAATGGACGTTTTCATTTATTGAACACGTTAAAAGGGATTAAACCGCTATTTTTTTTAGTTGAAACGCCGTTTTCCAAACATTCTCCTTCTAATACAACATTGCCGTGAGTAATTAAAAGTCGTCCAGAATGAGGTCCATTTTTCTCTCGAGAGAATAAGAGAAACTTGAATGGGTTCAAAAGAAAATAGAAAAATCACTATGGAACAGCTGGTATTATCATCAGGGACGGATCCAGGATTCTGAGTCAAGGGGGCGAAAGTTTTCGTTAGTGTAGAGGGTGAATTTTTTTGTTAGTGTAGCGGGGTGAAATTTTTTTCCCTAGTATAGCGGGGCGAAATTTTTTCTCTAACGTAGGGCTATGCGGCTATTTTTATTCAAAAAATGATATTAATACATGCACATCCTGAACGACATTTAAATCTATTACATTCTAAGTTTAGACGATAACAAAGACATCAACCAATACATTTTTAATAACTTCTACATTGTTTAACCTCATGAATCGGTTATTGAATTGTAATTTTTGTCCACCAATGAGGGTGTTCGTGAGTCATGACTCATGAGAAATTTTCTTAATATTACAATAGTAGTATACTAATATGTATGAGATTGTTATTTTTAGAATAATATGCACCGCATACACACACACATATGGTGCATATTATATTTTAATATTTTTATTAATTCTATAATAGTTTAGAGTTTATTATCCATGCAATAAATTATTTTTAGAAAGCAAGAAGTAAATGAATTATGTAATCTAATGTCTATAAATATTTATATTTTGGATTCATTTCACGTGATCTAAAAATTGTATAGTTAGTGTGTCTGGTATTTAATATTGTTTGATATATGTTTTACGAAATCCAGTATTTGTTATCTAATAAAGATAATTAAACATTACAAAACTAGGAATTCTTGTATAATAAGTATCCTAAATCTTAAATAACGAGTTACTCTATTGTTTATTTGTTTAAGTTATGTAAATTATTTTAGATGTTTCTTCTTTTAAATCTCCAATTAAGTATTACATTATGTAAGACTATATATATTAATTTTGAAAATTAAAAGCTAAGGGGGGCGAATCTAATTAAATTATGAAAGTTTTATGAAAATATTACATATATGGTAAAAAAAATTGAATGTCCAAGGGGGCAGTCGCCCCCTGCCCCCCTAAATCCATCCCTGATTATCATTAATATTCTTTCAGAAGGAATAATATCTAATGAAAACCGTACAGCTCATCAAATTAAGTTGCAAAGAGTCTTTCAAATGAATACCGTAATGCTGTCCATTCACAAGTAACAAATGGTGCGATAATTAATTAGCATTTACATTTCAACATGAAAAGCATGTATTACCTGCTCTAAAGGCTCTTAAACTAATCCTTTGAAGTAAATAGTTTACAAAGAGAGAAAATAAAAATTTGAAACGAATAGTATCAGTTTAGGTATTATATTTAAAGGGAGAAATAAAGAGGGAGAATTTAGTGAGATTTTAGAATAATTTGGTTTATGATCCAAAAAAAAATTGTTTTTTCTTTTATTCCCATCTATAATAAGTAAGGAATAAAAAACAGATGGGGCCATGATTTAAGAGGATAATTATGACTTTAATTGGACTCGTTTCAGTCTCAGATCATACCGGACTTAGAACATTGGAAAATAACAAATACTCCCTTCATCCTACTAAGAATGGGACAATTCGTTTATGATGTTTGACTAATGATAAAACAAACATATTCATTCCCGTACTCAAATTATTTTAAAAAAAAACACATTCAGAAACTACATAAAATTTTTTACAAAGTCGCAAAAATCCTAATGAAATTTGATAAAAAATTGATACATAAAGTAAGAGATTAAAAATGATTTGTGTAGGCCACGTGAATCGGAACTGGAACAATCTTAGCGAGACAGGAGTACTACCTATAATGATACCAAATCAGACTAGAAATTAAAGTCCAATTAAAAAATGTCTGAGCCAAACATGACTTGCAAATGAGAATCTCTTCAATTCAATCTCTCACCTTATATGGAGTATATTTAAATAAACGTTCTTGATAATCATCTTTATCAATACAGATTACCAAATCTTCTTTATGTTTGTAACTTTTGTACCTTTAGCTCTGTTAGTTAATTATACTAATAAAAATATTATTAGTATAATTAAGCTTCTCTGCTGTATCCATCTGTAATCTGATCTGTGTGGATTGTGGGGTGTCAGGACAGCCATGGTTGGTGGTTTTGGTTGTATACTAGCCAAAGTGCTAATTCTGCTCCTCTTCTTCTTCAACCATGGATTAGTGCAGGGGAAGAACCCCAAAGTGGGAGCCACCAAGAGCTGTGATCTGTTCCAAGGAAGTTGGGTTTTGGATGAATCTCCTAATCTTAATCCCTACAATTCATCACAGTGCTCCTTCATAGAGAAGCAGTTTGATTGTGAGAAGAATGGAAGAGCTGATGATGATTATCTCAAGTATAGATGGCAGCCTAAGCACTGCGCTCTTCCCAGGTTTAGTTTCAAACTACAATTCATTTTTCAAGCTTATTCTTGCCTTATTTCATATGTTTCGAAGACATCTCCTACTGTCCATAATTTATGTAATTCAAATTATTTTTATCACGTTTGTAGTTCTAAATACTACCTCCGGGAAAAAAATTCACTTTCGATATCCCAAAAAGAAGTTTCAATTTCTATAAAAAAATCCACTTTTAATAATAAAACAAAATTAACCAAAAGTATACTTACTTTTTACTCACTTTTTGCATGATTTGATATAAAGCAAGGAATACTTGGAAAGTCGAAACAAAATTCGATCTTACATAAATACTACTCCCTCCGTCCCTAATTTATCTTCCAAATAGGTTTGACACACAGTTTAAGATAATGGGTATTGTGTAGTGGAGAGTTGTGCAGAGGAGAGAGAAATACGTAAGAATTGCTGTGAATCACAACTTCTGGCCAAAAAGGGAAAGTGGAAGTTTTAATTGGAACGGACGAAAAGTGAAAGTTGGAAGTTTATTTAGGGACGGAGAGAGTACTACAATACTACCTCTGTCCCTAAAAGATCTTCCAATTGCGGGTTACGAAGTTTGACAAGCGATAAAATTAAATGATCCCCGTGAAAACTCAGATTATTTTTAGTAAATAAAAATTCCATATTCAAAAACTACATTAAAACCGCTACAAAACCTGCAAAAAATAATTCCATTTTTATAAAACTTTGATATATAAAGTTTTCAAATGGAAAACTTCATTTCGGGACGGAGAGAGTAGATTTCAACTTTCAATATAAGAATTGTATCAAGTCAAAAATCAATGCAATTCTTATAGAGAATAAGATACTCCCTCGGTCCCAATTTCTAAGATACATTACGGTTTACGATGTTTGACTGACGATAAAGCAAATTGATCCCTGTCAACACTCAAATTATTTTTAGAAAATAAAATTTACATATTCAGAAACTACATTAAAACCGCTACAAAACCTGCAAAAAATAATTAAAATTTCATAAACTTTTGATATATAAAATAAAAGATTAAAAGTGATTTATGTTGACCAAGTGAATAGTAAATGTATCATACAATTTGGGACTGAGGGAGTACATATTTAAAGTACACCAATGCTTCGTGTACACGCGATTTGAACGCGTCATTTTACACGCCGGTCAAATTGTTTGTAACAGATAATTTGATCTGTGTTTTGTGAAGAAAACATCATTTGCACTAACAAAAAGTTTTCTGTACACAAACAATTAAACGTCGTGTAAGTGACTGAGTACACAAATAACATTAGTGTTTAATGTATGTGGTTCTCATTGAATTGTAAAATATGAATGAACTTTTTTGACAGTATAGTATGTATGAACTTGAAGCATACAAATATTGTTCAATACTCCGTATTATATGATTCAAAATTAATGGGCGAATAAAAATAAGATATACTACGTGATAAAGATAATGAAGGGGATGGTGTGATAAATTTGTATTACCTTCTTGAGCTGTCACATTAAGTTCATGTTATTCTCTTTGATTGCTCTAATATAGAGTAATTAATAGATAATTTCTCTTTGAACATGTAATTTAAACACTAAATATTCTTCCTTGCTGACATTTGGAAATCGAAAAGTATTGAGTTAAAAATATCAAATAGGTGGAATTACTAAATTTCCTTATTCGATGTTACTCGAGCCCACACGATTGGGCTAACTCAAGAAGTCTTTTAATAAAGTCTACTATCTTGTCTGTCGGGTACTATGGAAGTCTCTTATTGCTAAATCTTAATCAATGAGTGTCGGTTCTATAGATTTCTTTTTAGCGTTCCCATTTTCTAGTTGATAATTGTGGCCTCTTTAAATCTTCATCACGGGGTTCTAGTTGATTATTTAGACAATAATTAAATAAGGTAGTTTGATTATATTTTGACAAATAATTTTAATATGTATATACTACCTCCGTTCTTACATAAGTGCAGCATACCAAGTTTTACACTATATATATGTTCTATTTTGACTACATTTTATTTATTCAGTATTAATATATATTTTTGAAAAAAATATTACTAAATTTGTCTCATTCTAAATTTTCAAAACCTGAATTTTTAATTTTTCTTACTAATAGGGAGTTATATTATATATATTAATTGTCAAAGTTGTGCCTCTCCAAATGTGAAATGTTGACCGTTGCACTTATTTAAAAATGGAGGAAGTATTATAATGTAGTTGGTATTTATAACTGTAATGTTATAAATGTATTATTATTACTCTGTAATATTTAATGATTAATTTGTCACTTAAGATTGTTAATTGTTTTCTAAAATGGAAATGAGAACCTTTATATGAGACTTCCAAAAAGGAAAGTAGGAATCTTCTAATGGGACGGAGGAAGTATTTCGTATATCATGATTATGATGATTGTGTGTGTTATGATAATTTCAGGTTGCAATGCCAGATTAAGATTAGATTTCATCTTAAAAAATCATTAAATCAACATGAATGACCTTCGATACAGAAGACAATAAGTTATGATTAGGAGACATAATAAATTCTAATCTTCGACATATTGAATTGAAGGACCTTAGTTTATTACTCCTTTCCTTCCATAACTTTGTCCCGTTTTATATTTTTGGTCTGTCCTATCAAACTTGTCTCATATCATATTTGGTAATATTTGAGTGGCTACAATTCATTTTTATTTTATTCACGTTTTATCAATTCAATAGTAACCACACAATTCTATTTTTTCTTAAAAACCACACCACACATGCATCTTTGTCTCAGACTTAGCGGGAGAGAGGTACTACTTTATTAGCATTCTTTGTCTCTTACTTTTAATTGGATATTGTTCCCCACACATCATGAATTCATAGAGCACCCGAATAGAATAATTTAAATGGCATTTTTATACCTCTTACACCATCGAATTCAACAATAAGCTGACATTACATGACTTGCTCTGTGATCCAATTGAACACGAATTTGAAAAGTTATATAAATAGGAGTTCACAAAACCAATTTCAAAATAGAATTGTTATAATTTTCTTTCTCAAATAGGATTCCAAAACCCGTTTAATTCTATTTAGGGCAATTTCCCCACGAACATATCGTTGGTTGTCGATCATTAGTTGGATACGCAATGAAGAAATTGCTCAAAATAAGATTAAAATGTGAATAAAATTCTAATATGGGAATAAATATGTTTTTCTCTATTGTGTCAAGCCAATATCCGAAGGTGTTGGGGGTGATTAAGGATGTTTTTACTTGGACTATAATTTGCTGGTTTGGTCTGGTCTGTTTAAGTCTAGTATGGTCTGGTTTAGTAAACGTCTGGTCTCTGTGTATTTTATAACTGCGGGAGTCAAGTCTGGTCTGGTCTGCCCTGTTTAAGACTGTTCTGGTCTGTTTAAGTCTGTTTTTGTTTAAGTCTGGTCTGGTCTGGAACAGAAAACAGTTTAAGTAAAAACATCCTAAAAATGAATTTTAAGATAGATTTTTCTCCAATATACTGCTATATATCTGACGGGGTAGGTTAAATACTTAAATTAAGACATTTGACATTAAGGAAATATAGAGATATAAACCAATATCATATACATGAACCTGAACCTCTTTTGTAGAAGTTTGATAGTAATATTTTTATAATGGAATATCGAATCTGTGAAGTTAAATGGATGTGAGTATGAGTTTAGGTATTCCTTTTTTCAGGGTTGCTCAATTTTGCATCCTTAATTTTAGCTGTAAGGTTAGACCCTATAATATCTGCTTTATCCATGCAGGTTTGATGCGAGAAGTTTTTTGTTAAAGATGAAGAACAAGAAAATGATGTTTATTGGAGATTCACTGAGTCTCAATCAATGGCAGTCCCTCACATGTTTACTTCATGTAGGAGAGCCAAATGCCAAGTATACTTTACAGAGATTTGGACCTGTTTCTAATTTCTCATTCCCGGTACGGTTAGATATAAATATTGTTTTGACATACATTTCATTCAAGGGTGGATACAGGAATCTGAGTTAATTATACTAAACTTAAACATTAGTTGGGTTGTCGTCAAAATATAAAAAATGAAAAAAACTTATTCTGAAAAAATTGAAAAAAAAAGTTACCTTGATCTTCATTCTTCAGCCCATGATTTTACTAATAACAAGTTAACAACTAACTAAAAGCTCAACCTTTCTTCAAATGCATCACAGGCGTACAATGTTTCTATCTTTCTCTTTCGAGCTGCTTTTCTTGTTGATCTTGTTAGACAAGATGATGACATACGGGTATTGAAGCTAAACTCCATCAGCAATGGCACTCAATGGAAAGAAATGGATGTGCTCATCTTTGATTCATGGCATTGGTGGCTCCACACTGGCAGAAAACAAAAGTAATAACTAATTGAAACAATTTCTTAAATAGACTAAAACAAGGATAAAGTTAAGAACTTTTATCGTTTTATTTTTGAAATATGACTCTTACTCCTGTTACATTTGGAAAGTTTTAATCAAATTATTCTTTTAATTGGATTAAATATGTCATGTTCGGGCAAAACCATACTTAGTTCTATTTTTGAACTTTGTGTATGTTTTGGTCCTATACTGAGCTGTTTCTATTAATTTTAGATTCACCACTTAAATGAAGTCCAATACAACGTTACAAAAAATAAGTCTAATAAACACTAAAGCATATATTTGTAAGAACATATATAAGTCAATTTCAATATCTACGTAAGATCAATTTTCAAAATGTAGCTTAGGCTACTTAAATGGCTCAACATTTTTTATATTTATGCAGTTGGGATATTGTTGAGGATGGAAATGTCACCTATGCAGATGGAGATAGAATGAAAATGTATGAGAAAGCACTTCTCACATGGGCAACCTGGGTTGAAGATGAACTAAACACTACAAAAACCAAAGTATTCTTTCAAGGGGTTTCCCCTGATCATGACCGGTGAGTTTCAGTATCGCATTCCATCCCAGCTATAATATCTTAACTTCATACTTCAATTAAACTTTAAAAAAGAGTTTTTGCCATTTTTGGTCCCTCGACTATTATGTCAATGACACTTCTGGTACTCGACTTCTAATTGTTCCATTTTTAGTCCTTCACTATTGTGCTAGAGACACTTATAGTCACCGACTTCAAAGTTTCTCACATTTAATCCCTGAGTATTGTCAAATTGACACTTTTAATCTTCCCATTATGATTTTGACACAATAGGTGGAGGACTAAAAAAGTCACTATTATAATAGTTGAAGGACCAAAAGTGTTACTTTTATGAAAGTTGAAGGATTAAATATTGAAATTTTCAAAAACGGGTATCAAAAGTGTCTCTAGCGCAATAGTCAATGACTAAAAATGAAAAAAAAATCAAAGTCAAGTACCAAAAATATCAATGACATAATACTCGGAGGACTAAAAGTGGAAAAAACTCCTTTAAAAAATTTCCAATATAAGAGTAAAAAGAAGAAGTAAAATTCCATAACACGATTATTGCGTTTTCCACTAAATAAGATTAACTTATTGTCATCCCGAAATTTTAAATATGAAAGTAGATATATATACTGTCATAATTGAATTTGTTTTTCCAGCATAAAACTAATTAATCCTATTCATAAAAAATTGGTTTTACTTTTGTTTGCATTAAATGCATTACTTATTCATAATGTAGTGTGCGAACCTCGAAGTCTGGAAATTGTACAGGGGTGACACAACCAACAAGAGTACCAGAAAAACCCCATCCAGGAGAATTGGTGTTGGAGAAAGTTGTAAGAACAATGTCCAAACCAGTCTATTTGTTAAACATAACTTCCATGTCACAATACAGACAAGATGGTCACCCGTCGGTGTTCGGTGTGGGCGGACATCATGATCTTGATTGCACCCACTGGTGTTTACCAGGGGTCCCAGATACTTGGAACCAGCTCCTATATACATCCTTGTTTATCCAGTCATACAAGGATAATAAATGAATACTTGCATACTTGCATGACAAATATTCCTGTCCGGACGTCCGGACAGGAACCGCCGTCCGGACCGCGGCGTTTGGCCGCCTTCCCGGTGGTTTTTTTTGATGAAATTTTTATGGCATGTTCTCCATCAAGTCTAGTTTATCCATAAAAACATTCAGCCAAAAACTCAATCGGGAAGGTCGTCAAATGATTTTTGCAAGTTAACTGGTCCGGAAAATACATATTCCGGACCAGTTAACTTGCAAAAATCATTTGACGACCTTCCCGATTGAGTTTTTGGCTGAATTTTTTTGTGGATAAACTAGACTTGATGGAGAACATGCCATAAAAATTTCATCAAAAAACGCCACCGGGAAGGCGGCCAAACGCCGCGGTCCGGACGGCGGTTCCCTGTCCGGACGTCCGGACAGGATCATTACTCTACTTGCATATAATTTTACGCTCTATTTTTTGGCTTCCGAATTCTTACATTTGTTTTTGGTCCATTTGAAATCTTAATTATATGGAGTAGAATGTAATTACATTAACTAGTATAGTACCCGTGCGATGCACGGGAATAATTTTGTAAAAATGAAAGGGTAGTTTGTTTGGACCGCACACTATTTTTTCCATTTTTGCTTCCAGACTATTGTGTTCGTGACACTTTTGATACTCGGCTTTTAATTTTATCATTTTTATCTCCGATTATTGTGTGGGAGACACTTTTTGTTTTCAACTTTCAAACTTCACACATTTAATCCATTGAGTATTATCGATTTGACATTGTTACTCTTTCAATTATGAATTTGACACAATAAGTGAAAGATTAAAAGTGTCAATATTTAAAAGTTAATGGACCAAAAGTGTTACTTTTATGGAAGTCGAATGACAAAATTTAAAAATTTTCAAAATCGGGTACAAAAAGTGTTTTCCGCACGACAGTTAAAGGATTAAAAGTGAAAAAAATTAAAATTGAATATAAAAAATGTCATGTCATAATAGTCAAATGAACATAGTCACATATAAAAAAATGTAAGTGTCATAATAATCAATGAACGGAAAGTGACAAAAACTCAGACCTCACTTAGTCACATTTGAGAGACTTGGGCCATGTTTGGTAAATGCTATTTCAGCCTGCTTTTGGCGGATTTGACCAAATTCAGCTTTTTGGGTCGGTCAAAACGCCATTTCTAATCGCTTGACAAATGACTTTTTAATCTGGCAGTTTGACTTAAAATGCCAAAAACGAAAACGCTGGGATCTGGAGCGTTTAAGTTTAGCGGCTCAGAATGAATAATCGATTCCCATCCGCACCCTTCACTCTTCTGTATTCTGGGCAGCAAACGACCTTTCATGCGCAACAGCAACCTTCCTCTGAAGACCTTCCGCAGACCTTCCTTGAAGGTAAACCTATTATTTACCTTCATCTCTCCTCGTAGTTTTTTCATAGTAAAGTTATGTCTATCTCATTATTATAATAATAATAATAATTATAATAATAATAATAATAATAATTATTATTATTATTATTATTATTATTATTATTACTACTACTACTGTTACTGTTACTATTACTATTATTATGTCATGCGTTAGGCATAATCATGGGTTTATCCCTTTCCCCATCTCAATATATAGGCACGGGCCAATGGATAAGATTAAGCAAGTTGAACATTAGTCCCAACCGTTCTTTCAAGTATAGGTTAACATTTCAATTATTATGAATTTTAATTATTATATTTTCATCATGAATTTTGTGCTAATTATTATTGTTTGTGATGAATTTTGTTCTTAAACTATCACAAATTTTATGCTATAATTTTTTTTTTCATTATTATTTTGTGCATTAAATTTTGTACTTAAACTATCACAAATTTATTTATTATTTGTGCTAATTATTATTGTTCGTATATGTTGATACAATTTTTTATACCATCATATTAAATTAAACAACAAAGAAAGAAATATTCAAATGTGCTAATGTCCTTTTTTGTTTTTTTATCTATTAACCGCTAAAAGCAAACAACTAAGTTACTAAACATCTTTCTGAAATCCGTCAAACTGATCCGCCGGTCAAACCCGCTGACTCAGGATGTTTTTACTTGGACTGTAATTTGCCCCAGACCAGACCAGACCAGACCAGTCCAGACCAGACCAGACCAGTTCAGACCAGACCAGACCAGACCAGACTTGGATAGTTATAAAAATACAAAGAAACCAGACCTTACCGGACCAGACCAGACCAGTTCAGACCAGACCAGACCAGATCAGACCAGACCAGACCAGACCAGCAAATTACAGTCCAAGTAAAAACATCCTCAATCCGCTAACCGCTAATCGCTAACCGTCAATTGCCAAACAGGCCCTTGAAGTGACGTGACATATACGGAGTATAATTTGCCTTCTAGCTTACAAAAAACAAACGTGATACTCGGTAGTTATTTTGTAGCACACAAATTAGCTGGGGACAATATATTAGATCCCAAATATTTTTATCTATATTTATTTATGATGAGTATCTTATATTAAGGAGCAAATGAAGCATTAATTATGCTATGCATTAATCAAGATGCACTATATCAAAATCTTAGTCACTGAAAAATTTGCCCTGCATAAAAGACATTTATATGGAGTATACGAAGTATATAATACGGAGTATCCCAAAATTAAGAATGATGTTTCGATACATTAATTAGAATAGGTAATGCGATTAATTATACTATTAATATTGTGATGCATCCCACATCATTGCAAATCCAATGATTACGATAATTATTTACTCCGTATAATACACGATTAGTTTTTAATACGAAGTATTTAACAACACTTATTTTTCTCTCCATTCTAGGATGTTTTCTTTTGGACTGAAATTTGCTGATCTAGTCTGGTAAACGTCTGATCTGGTCTGATCTAGTCTGGTCTTATTTGGTCTGGGACTGAAAACAGTCCAAAAGAAAACATCCCTAATAGAATTTGAGCAGTGACTTTTCTTGAAAAATGATAAAATGTAATAAGAAATGATTTTGAGTATGAAAGTTATATGAAAAAATATTTCCTTAAATATATTTCCTTAAATATAAATTATAAATCTCACCAAGTGCAAGGTAGTGTCTGTTTGGGAAACCTCATTAGTTTATGATGATTTTAAGTTTAGAAAATTTGAACAAACGCAAATTGTCATAGTTACGTAGTATTATTTTCATTTAAAAAATGTAGGAATAGAAAGATCCATTTAAATAAATAGACCTTCAAATCTTAATCTACATCAAAATTAATGCATTATAAATCAAGGAAAACAAAATGATATTATGAATAATAATATACTCTGATCTGTACTTTATTCAATTTGGCCAAATGAACTAATACAATAAGTCAAATTACGGAAAATGTAAAATGACTGTACATTCACATATACTTCATTCCCTATCCCTCCGCATCTCACTTTACCTTCTGGCTTCTTCTTCTGACTTCTTCATCTTTCACCCCACATACCTACATTTCCAGACATCACCCCCTTCCCCGACCTGAAAAATAGCATAATTTGGATATCAATTTGTGGAAGATTTGACACATGTACATTTCAGAAGTGTGTCATCTAGAGATATGACTAAAAAAAGGTACAAACTGAAAATAAACAATATAGATTTCACACATAACCATAAAATAAAATACGCAGTAACATTAATATTGAACATTACAATACCGTGGTCAAGGATTGAATCCAATTTCGAATCAAGAATTCGCGAGAAGTTCAACTCGTTCCCCCACCTGGCCCTCCCGAACGACGAAAACCCCGTCTGTGAGACTGACCAAAACAAAACATCCACCATCCCAAGCATCAGAATTCAGAAGACGAATAACCTTCTTGGCCGGAACGTCCATTGGCCGCTGGCCGCTGCCTTTCCAAACCCATATACTGTATGAGTATGACCAAAGAGTCGCCGCTTTCCCAGACCCCAGTGGTAACGTACCGGTACCTTCTGCCGCCCTAACGAAACCAATTGCGACTGAAACCTTCCTCCATTTTCCGCCGCCCTACCCCTATAAATCAATGACTGAAGCCTTTGCAAACTGCCATCTATTGCTTTTGCAAAACGAAGTCAGTGCTTATTTGTGATTTGCGTTACAGAGATCATTTATATAGGCGATGCATCTGAGCTGATGACTCTTGTCTCTTGAGAAGCCCAAGCATGAATCGGAAAAGGAACGGCCTCATCCAGCACCTTTTAATTACTGAGATGCTTCGGAAATCGAAATTCAAGTTCTAGAATAAACTCGATCAGTGAGCCGTTGCACTTCCCGCCCAAATGGCTTGCCACTATTGCGTTTTTATATATTATATAGATAACTTTGATTGCCCTTATCAATTTGCACAAAATCCACAAAATTTTACATCTAGTTAACTTTAATAACATTTTTATCCAAATATAATATTTTGGAGATGATATTTTTTTGTATACTTATTTACATTTTTTGTTGAGGTCCGCCTCGTTCCCGTTTTTTTTTGTTTATCCAGTGCCATATCTTCACCTGTTGGGTAGTCTTGTTCGTTTTCCTCCCATGTTCTTCTGCGCTTCTGCTCTCTTGACCCTTCTTCTGGGCTCACCGAAACCCCTTGATAGCACTAGTCCCTGAGCTTGTAATAGTTTCCTTCCAGTCCTACCTGTCTGTGTCCTGTCTATCTGAAGCTCCCATACCAGTAATAGATGACCCTACAATCAACCACTTATTTCCCCCTATGTGGCTAGTCTTCACCCCTCCCCCAGCACGAAGCTCCACTCCATAGTTTTTATCAAAATTGATATTTTCTCCCTCATAAACAACTAGACAAAATTTATGAGAATGCCCAATAATCCCACACACAAAGCAAAAGTTAGGGAGTTTTTCGTACTTAAAATCCACCCATTGGCTACACCCTACCTTCTTCAGGTTGGTTCCTTTTTTCAAAGGTCTCCTAACATCCATACGGACCGTAATTCTCATATATGTCTCCCAGTTTTCATCAGATCGGCGTTCAACATAACTAATAAATTTTCCAATATAATTACCAATATGTCTAGTTGAACCCAAATTCATAAAACCATATGCAGCATTATGGACTTGTAACCCAAAAATCTGCCTCATAGAGACTAATATGTGAAGAAATATCCTCTGTCTTGATTTCTTTAAGCAGTAAAAGATTTCTTTCAAAATAACCACGGACCCTCATCTAAAACACGTCTCATGTCTAGAATATGATAAAAAAGTAAAAATATACTTCTTATCACCAATATCTTGGACAGAAACCCCTTTGACCGGTCTCCATAGATATACCATTAATTCTTTGAAAAACTGAAATTTGATCTTCCAATCCGTTAGGATCATGCCAACAACCGGGAAAATCGGTTTTCCTTCGTTCACCGTCTGCTCCTCCTCTTCCACATCATTGAAAATCAGTTCCTCCTTGTCTTCTTCGATTGCCATGTGTTTATATTGATTGACCAAATCCTCCATCCAAAATCCCTGCTCGAAGAAGGTGACTGCCGAAGAAAAGATCGATCTTCCGTCGATGGAATTTGCCGAGAAACCGGCCGAAGAAAATTGTTAGTTATTTTGAATTAGTCTTAATAAGTTCCTAATTATTAGGAAGTGGGTGTAGTTTGTTCGTGTCTTTCCTATTCCTTTGCTTGTAATCACGTTTCCTGGTATTGTGGGAAACTCAGCTTTATTTCAGCATTTCAGTTTCTTTGTAAGGCTATTTAAAGCCACTGCTAGTTCATTTTCAATGTGAGACAGTTTGGTTTATCTGCTGCAACTAGTCTTTATATTTATTCTTATCATTTGGTATTAGAGCCTCTTCACAGGGGCCTGATTAAAGGAGAACGAGGATTTCTTGAGTGAAATGCGAGAGGAGAAAGAAAAATGGCGGAAAGTAGCAACTTTGTGCAACCTGCCATTCCAAAATTTGATGGTTATTATGAACATTGGGCTAAGTTGATGGAGAATTTCCTTAGAGCAAAGGAATACTGGAGCCTAGTGGAAGATGGAATCGCTGAGATTCTAGATGGGAGAGAGCCATCAGGAGCAGAAGCTAGGGCCATTGCAGATCAGCAATTGAAAGATAAAAGGGTGAAGAACTACCTCTATCAAGCCATAGATAGAGAAATCATGGAAACGATTCTCAATGATGACACGTCCAAACAGATCTGGGACTCCATGAAGCAGAAGTTTGAGGGATCAACAAGAGTCAGGAGAGCACAACTTCAAACCCTAAAGGCTGAGTTTGAAACTCTAAAAATGAAGGAAGGGGAAACCGTGAACGCATATTTTGGAAAAACACTCTCTATTGCCAAGAAGATGAAAACATGTGGAGAAAGAATCAAGGAGGCTGACATTGCAGCCAAGATTCTTCGCTCACTGGCCCC